AAGGCCCGGGGGCCAGATGCGGCCCAATCGCCTTCTCTGTCCGGCCCATGGATGATCCAGGATTCAGCATGTTTTTACAGGAGTAGAATGTGTCCTTTTATTTAAAATGCATCTCTGGGTTATTTGTGGGGCATAGGAATTCATTCATTTCCCCCCCAAAAATATAGTCTGGCCCACCACATGGTCTGAGGGACGGTGGACTGGCCCATGGCTGAAAAAGGTTGCTGACCCCTGGAATAAGCAATGGTCAGCAGCTGCAAGAGACAAGCCCTGAATGTTAGTGCTTGATATGTATGTAAGCACAAGTGACTATGAGAGCGCATGTGAGAGAAGGGCTTTCCTAGTGTCCTCCCCTCAGACTTCTTTCCCCTGTTGAGCGAGAACATAGAGCAACGGAGACAACTGTGTGGGAAGTTGCTATGGCACTCCCTGTGCAGTGGTTGTTTGTGCTGCTCAGACTGTCTTCCTGCAATACCAAAAGCACCATGACTGTGTCCTCCGCGCCATGCCGCTTGTTCTGCTGGGCTCCTGTACCTTTTTTAAGCTGCAGGGTGCAAATCAACTAACATTTTGCTTGCTTTCCGATTCACTCTCTCTGTAGCTCATCTCAGCCATCTTCCAGGTAGGCTTCTCCATGAATGACTTGTCCACTGCCACATCCCAGCAGGGCTCAGGGTCTGCTCTCAGCCCCTCTGAGCTTCCGCAAGGGCAGATGTCAGCCTCCCTCACACTGCAGGCATAATGGACACACAACATCCCAACCTCCAAGCAGGGCAAGATTCCAGGAGTTCCAGGCACATACTCAGGGTTTGCGTTCCCCTTGGAATTGGGGACAGTGGAGACTGTGGCATATTTATGATATATGGCTTATCTACAACCTGAGCCTACTATGGAGGGGTTTACAGCATTAACTTATCCACCCCAAGAGGGCTTTGCTTCCCTCATAGACGAAGTCTTGAATTCAAACAGAAATCGAACATCGCTCTGACTCTCTAGCTCCCCCACTTCTAGCTTTTAGCTCTCCTCACTCAACACTGTCTGCTCTCAACTCTGCCTTAGTCCTTTGAATTACCTGTGAGTTAAGGGAGGGCCCCCCACCCATTTGCCCCTTCCTTTGTTCCCTGAATGGCCTATCACCAGAAAACCAGCCTGGCTTATATTCCAACACTTGATGGATCCAGGGGCTAGAAGAGTCTTGATACAGCCTTCTTCCCTCCCCCGTCAACTCATAACACTATATAGCTGGAAGGGGAGGGTGATGGTGCCTGGATAGAGAAATGGCTTCTGGAAGAATAGCAAGCAGGTAGTGATAACCTGCTAAATCACATGTTGGGGGATGCTGAAATTGGCAAAGATCGGGTAATCCAAAAGGCAACCTCAGAGAGCCAGGCAATTGGCTTATGCAGCACTCCTTCTGATTGGTTCTGGAGTCACACTCTCTCACATGTGCCTCCCAGCCAATTCTAGTGAGAGATCATACCCAGAGACTGAACTAGAGGTGTTATTTGCCTAAAGATAAATTAAGACGTTTGGGTGTCCCAACTGATCACTACCAAAGCCTTGAGAGGCTTTTTTGAGTGTTTGATATGAGCACTCAAAAATCCCAGGTTAATTGCCAGAGTGCTAGAAATCCAAATTCCTCTCTGGACCGCAGTTGGGAATCTTTAGACATCAATGGAAGAAAGATTTTGACAAGCAAAACTCAAGTTCAAACATGGATACTTTATTGTCCTTATCACACACACAGCAGATGTTGTAGCAGTTGCTTTTGGCTTGCAAATCTCCTTGTCTTCAGCAACAGCAAGCACACAGCAGTGTGAAACCCACTGCAGCAAATTATGTAAAGCCTATTCCAAAATCACCACTCTAAAGTTCAAGCAGATCAAGCCATGAGCCTCACCTGGGGAAGCTGCAGAGACCAGGGCAGGGAGAGGGAGGGAGGGAGGGAGGTGTGCTTCGTTATCCATATTAGGGCCTACTTACTTCCACCCAATTTTCTGGAACTGGAACTATGTTTTCCTGTACCTTGAGAATCCTCTTTCCCCACATGTGCCTGTCTGTACACTAAGATTTTCTCAGAGTTTCCTGTGCCATTCAAGGTCCAGGAAGCTACCAGAGAAAGGGCCTTGTGATGGCCTGGGATTCCGATTCGGAGGATGAAACAGAGGAATCCCAGCCTGCACAGGAGTCCCCGCCTCCAGGGCCGGCTGAACTGGGGCAAGGCCTAGATGCTGAAGAGCCTGCACCTGTGGCAGTGCATCAGGAGCTGGCCCCAGGTGAAGCCCTTCTGGCCCCAGAGGGGCTTGATGACTCAGTGGCCACAGGTGAGCCTCCTCCAGGGCCCAGTAACCCTTCGGCCTCTCCTGATCTGCAGAGGCTTAGGGCAGAGAGGCGAAGGGAACTGGTTGCCCCCAGGAGGAGTGCTCGCCTTAAGGCCAGAGGAGGCGGGGCTCCTGGGGACCGGGACCGCCCCTGGCCTTAGAAGAGGATAAAAGCCCAGTCAGCCCGGCCCCAGGTTGCGGGAGCAACGTCGTTGTTGGCTTCGGACCTTCCTGTGCTCCTGTTCCCTGCTCGGCTTCCTGTTCCTGACTATCCGGTACTCCTGTTCCCTGCTCGGCTTCCTGTTCCTGACTATCCGGTACTCCTGTTCCCTGCTCGGCCTCCTGTTCCCGACCATCCGGTGTTCCTGTTCCCTGCACAGCCTCCTGTTCCAGCATTCCTGTTCCCCGCCCGGCTCTCTGCCTCGGACCTTGCCCCTCTTCGTGTGGACTCTGCTACACCCAAGGTACCTTACCCCCGGGACCAGCACAGTTTGCTCCCGCCACACCCGCACTTCCCCTTCGTAGGGGTGCGTTCGGGAAGAGCCAGAGGCCATGGCTGAACAGGCGGCTGCACTGGTGGCTTTGGCCCAGGAGAACCAGGCCTTGAATCACACCGTGCAGCAGCTCAGCGACGCGGTTGTGGCACTTCAGCAACGCTTGGAAGCCCTACCGGCTCCTGGGGCCGACGCCCGGCTCCGGGCAAGTACCCAGTGGCTTTGCCTGAGAAATTTGATGGAGCCCCGGCCAGCTTTCCCATGTTCCTGGCCCAGGCCAAGCTGTATATTCAGGGGCGAGCCCGGAACTTTCCTGACGACCGCACCAAGGTGCACTTTTTGATTAGTTTGTTAAAGGACCAGGCGGCCAAGTGGGCGTTGCCGTTACTCAGGCAAGACTCCCCTTGCTGGCAGACTATACGGGGTTTTGCAATCGTTTGGAGGCCGCGCTCGGCAACCCCCAGAAAGAGAGTCAAGCCAACCGGGCGATTCGGCGTTTGAAACAGGGCAAGTCCACGGTGGCCACATATACCACGGAGTTTCGGCTGTTGGCACAGGACTTGACCTGGAATGACTCGGCACTGCGGGACCAGTATCTCGAAGGGCTTTCGGACGAGGTACTGGACCAGTTGGCCACAATGGAACGCCCCACCACGCTGGACACTCTCATTCAACGGAGTCTACAAATAGACGACCGGTTGGAGGATCGGCGTCAGGCCCGGGTCGCCGACACTTCCAGTTCACGGCACCAGTTTTTCCGGCAGCCCCACGGTCACAACTGATTTAACGGAGGAGCCTATGCAGCTCGGGGCAGTGCGGCCACGCCTTTTCCCCGCAGAGAAGGCGCGGCGTCGGGAGGGAAATCTCTGTCTTTACTGTGGCGGAAGTGGACACTTCGCTCGGTCCTGCCCTGAGAAACGCCAGCCGCAGGGAAACCGCCAACCCCAGTAGCTGATGGCCCTAGCTGCCGGGGGTCCCAAACCGTACAGAATGGGCCCGCACCAATGGACTTGCAACATCTTATGGTTTCAGTACGTTTATACCCTCCAGGTGGGCCCTGGATCCTCACCCATGCTTTGGTAGATTCAGGGGCAACCCGCTCCTATATGGACGCTGCTTTTGCCGCCCATCATCAGGTGCCACTTGGAACAAGCCAGTACCGGTCCAGGTGGAAGCGATTGACGGACGACTTCTGCGTTCAGGTGCCGTTACTCAGGAGACCCAGCCCTTGGTCCTGTGTCTCCAGCAGCACCGGGAGTTGCGGACTTTGGACATTGCCTCTATGCCCCGCTTCCCCTGGTGCTCGGGATGGACTGGCTGGAAGCCCACAACGTTCAGATTGACTGGGTCAAACGGACCGTGCACTTCCCAGACCCATGTTCCCATGCTCAATCCGGGAACGCTGGCGGCCGCGCCTCAGAGGAGGCAGCACCCACGCTCCCAGCCGTGTACCAGGACTACCAGGACGTGTTCGAGGAACGGGGGGCAGACCAGCTGCCGCCACATCGGCCTTTTGACTGCGGCATAGACCTCCAACCCGGAGCGCCTTTACCAGTGAGTCGCTTATATTCCCTAACAGAGCCAGAGCGCGAGGCTTTGCAGGACTTCTTGCGCAAGAACCTGGAGCGTGGGTTCATTAGGCCTTCCACCTCGCCTACCGCGGCACCAGTGCTTTTCGTTAAGAAGAAATGTGGGAACTCCGCCCTTGCCATGATTACCGAGCCCTGAACAAAATTACCGTCCCAGACCGGTACCCCTTGCCCCTTATCTCGGAACTGCTGGAGCGGGTGCAAGGGGCACAGGTGTTCACCAAGCTGGACCTCCGGGGGGCCTACAACTTGATTCGGATCCGAGCCGGGGATGAGTGGAAGACAGCGTTTGGGACCCGGTACGGGCAGTTCGAATATTTGGTTATGCCTTTCGGTTTGTGCAACGCGCCTGCTGTGTTTCAACGCTACATCAACCACGTGTTTCAGGACTTGTTAGACAAGTACGTGGTGGTGTATTTGGATGACATACTGATTTACTCCCGTGACCCGGCTTGCCATGAGGGACATGTCCGGACCGTGCTGCAGCGCTTGCGTGAGCACCGTTTGTACGCAAAGCTCAGCAAGTGCGAGTTCCATCAGCGGACTGTGGACTTCCTTGGTCACCGGCTCTCTCCAGATGGGGTGCAAATGGACCCGGGAAGGTGACAGCGGTTCAAGAATGGGCGGCACCCCGGAACCGCAAGGACCTGCAGCGTTTCCTGGGGTTCGCCAATTACTACCGGACCTTCATCGCTGATTATGCTCATCGCACCACCCCGTTGACCCGGCTACTGCGCCCAAAGACGCCGTTTTCCTGGGACAAGGAGGCAGAGGAGGCGTTTCAGGGGTTGAAGGCCTGTTTCCAGAGGGCACCAATCTTACAACATCCTGACCCCTCTCGACCCTTTGTGGTGGAGACCGACGCTTCCAGTACGGCTCTCGGTGCCGTCTTGTCTCAACAGATTGGTCCTGAAGCGCCACTCTTACCCTGTGCCTTCTATTCTCGCCAGCTCCTACCAGCGGAGCGTAACTATACTGTGTGGGAGCGGGAACTACTGGCCATCAAGGTAGCCTTTGAGGTCTGGCGCCACCATCTTGAGGGGGCACGACATCCGGTGGAGGTGAGAACCGACCACCGGAACCTGGAGTACCTCCAGACCACCCGCAAGCTGAACCAAAGACAGATCCGGTGGGCGTTGTTCTTTTCCCGGTTCCAGTTCCGGATCCGCTACATCCCTAGCTCTCAGAATCAGAAGGCGGATGCCCTGTCCCGGAAACCCGAAGACAACGCAGACACGGTACAGCAAGCAGAACCCACCACGATCCTACCTCCGGCTGCATTCCTGGCCACCCAGGAGGCGCAGCCACTGCAGGTTCGGGTGCGGGAACAGCAGCGGGTCGACGCTTGGGCCCAGGAACGACTCCGGGAGCTGGCTGAAGGGTCCAGCCCACAGTATCCGGGGCTGGTCCTGCATCAGGGCCTTCTGCTGCACCACGGTCGTCTGTACATCCCGCCAGGGCCACTACGGCTGGAGGTTCTCCGGATGGCCCATGATGCCCCAGCAGCGGGGCACTTTGGACGGTATCGGACCACCCATCTGGTCAGTCGAGAGTTTTGGTGGCCCCGCCTGAAGGCTGACGTGGCTCGCTACGTTGCTGGTTGTGATGTCTGCCGGCGCGCCAAGGGACCTACCGGGCGACCCCCCGGCCTACTTCAGCCATTGCCAGTTCCACCGCGCCCCTGGCACACGGTTTCGTTGGACTTTGTAGTGGACTTACCCTCGTCTCGTGGCTGTACCTGCCTTCTGGTTTTCTCCGACCATTTCACCAAGATGGTGCACTGCGCTCCCTGTCCATCTGTACCCACAGCCAAGGAAACTGCTCAGCTGTACCTTCAGCATGTCTTCCGCCTGCATGGACTACCTGAGCGCGTGGTGTCCGACCGGGCGTTCAGTTCACATCCCGGTTCTGGCGAGCATTACACCAGACCCTCGGGACAGAGGTCTGCCTCTCGTCAGCCTACCACCCACAGACCGATGGCCAGACGGAACGGGCGAACGCGGTGCTGGAGCAGTACCTCCGGTGTTACTGCAGCTACCAGCAGGATGACTGGGTCGACCACCTGGCATTGGCGGAGTTCGCCTATAACAACGCGGTGAATGCGTCCACCCAGCAGACCCCGTTCCAGGCCAGTTATGGTTATCATCCACGGCTGTTTCCAGAGGTGCTGCCGGCATCCGCGGTCCCGGCGGTGACGGAGTGGCTTCAAGAGCTCCAGTCCCAGCAACAGCTTTTGGTGGAGCAACTGCACCAGGCCAAGGAAGCGTACAAAGCCCAGGCCGACCGCCACCGCCAGGTGGGGCCGGAACTTCGCGTCGGTGACCTGGTTTGGCTCTCCACTCGCCACCTCCACCCCTCTCGACCTTCGCGGAAGTTGGACGCCCGCTTCACCGGCCCGTTCCCTATCGTAGACCAAATCTCTCCTGTGGCATTCCGTCTCCGGTTACCCGCAACCCTGAAGGTTCACCCGGTCTTCCACAGGTCCCTTTTGAGTCCGGTGGCCCCACCCGACGAGTTCCACTCGGACCGTCCCCGACCGCAGCCAGTGTTGGTTCGGGGAGAGCCTGAGTACGAGGTGGAACGCATCCTGGACTCCCGATACCGCAGGGGAAAGCTGCAGTATCTCATTGACTGGAAGGGGTACGGACCGGAGGACCGTTCCTGGGAACCAGCGGCCAATGTCCACGCACCTGCCTGCCTCCGAGAGTTCCATGCGACGTACCCCGGCAAGCCGGGTCCGGACCCTCGGTTGAGGGGGGGGCCTGGGAGGGGGGATGGTGTGATGGCCTGGGATTCCGATTCGGAGGATGAAACAGAGGAATCCCAGCCTGCACAGGAGTCCCCGCCTCCAGGGCCGGCTGAACTGGGGCAAGGCCTAGATGCTGAAGAGCCTGCACCTGTGGCAGTGCATCAGGAGCTGGCCCCAGGTGAAGCCCTTCTGGCCCCAGAGGGGCTTGATGACTCAGTGGCCACAGGTGAGCCTCCTCCAGGGCCCAGTAACCCTTCGGCCTCTCCTGATCTGCAGAGGCTTAGGGCAGAGAGGCGAAGGGAACTGGTTGCCCCCAGGAGGAGTGCTCGCCTTAAGGCCAGAGGAGGCGGGGCTCCTGGGGACCGGGACCGCCCCTGGCCTTAGAAGAGGATAAAAGCCCAGTCAGCCCGGCCCCAGGTTGCGGGAGCAACGTCGTTGTTGGCTTCGGACCTTCCTGTGCTCCTGTTCCCTGCTCGGCTTCCTGTTCCTGACTATCCGGTACTCCTGTTCCCTGCTCGGCTTCCTGTTCCTGACTATCCGGTACTCCTGTTCCCTGCTCGGCCTCCTGTTCCCGACCATCCGGTGTTCCTGTTCCCTGCACAGCCTCCTGTTCCAGCATTCCTGTTCCCCGCCCGGCTCTCTGCCTCGGACCTTGCCCCTCTTCGTGTGGACTCTGCTACACCCAAGGTACCTTACCCCCGGGACCAGCACAGGCCTTCTCAGTGTTGGTGCTCCAGCAATGGTAGAATGGTAGAAGGCTCGCCCAGCTTAAAGGACCTTTCCTTGGTCTAGGGTGCAGCAGGAAGCAGAGGAAAATCACCAATAGAGGAGAGATCCCTGGGACATCCTTCCCTGGAGCATAGAGCATGGTTTTCCCCTGGGGATCCCATGGAGAGAAGCACACAACACATCTCCCGTGTTAATGGGAGTCATCTGCCCTCCCAAACCCTTCCCCAAAGTTGGACTGTTTACTGCTGAATCGGTACAAACGCCAGTCAGGTTTCTGCAGATTGGTCTTGGTTCAGATTCAGCAGTAAACAGTAGTTTTCCCAGGCAAACGGAAGGACAAAAAAGAAACCAAAACTAAACCCCTCTCAGACCAATGACTTGAAATCACTTGAACATAGCTGTCAACTTACAGATTTGAAAATAAGGGACCAGCAGCCTCGAAAATAAGGGATCAGCAGCCAAAATAAGGGATCAACAATTACTTTGATAAAATACATATTTTGTTGCGTGCAAATGGTTTTAGATACCTATTAGGTCCATAAATTACCATATAGCATACATTCAACACAAAAAAGCAACAATTTGTTGTTGACAAAGGACAGCTGGACATAGAAAGGGCCCCATTACCTTCAGTAGCTTATTTAAGGGACATCATCAATAAGGGACAGCAGCGGGACATGGCGCTGGGATAAGGGACTGTCCCGCCAAATAAGGGACACTTGACAGCTATGCACTTGAAATCACAGGACAAATAAAAGTGTGGCTGGGCCTGGGTGTTGGTGGAGCTGCCCTTTAAAAAAAAAAATCCAGCTTCAGGCTTCTCTTGCTCTGGGAGTGCTACCAAAAGGGGCCTCTGGAGCTATGCCAGAAACTGATGAGTGGTGGGTTGTTTGCCATAGTGGACAGACATGGAGGAGAAGAAAGCAAATAGCTTTGCTTGTAGGCACTGGCACCTTTCCTTTCTACTTGCTGAGCGCCCAGGAAGGTTCCTAGTGAGAGAGAGATGCACATAGTCATCAGAGCCATCTCCTCTCTCCGTGCCGGGTGACTCCACTCCCCCAAGCCCAGCCTGTAAACTGCTGACCTCTCTCTAGCCCATGCTTCCAGCAACTCCATTTATTCCCTGATTTATCTGCTCCTCAGGAGAGACAATCTCTCCTCCACACACCCACACCCCCTTAAGGAGCGGGTGGTCCAATGTATTGTGGGCAGGCAGACATGCAGGCAGAACTGTGGGGTCTGAGAAAGCCCAGTTGTTTCTAATTTATGGTGCTGCCACACACTGCAGCAGCCAATAGCTTTGCAATGATGTAGAGATTTGCAGTCAAGGCCTCTCATAAAGAGATTTAGGAGGGCCAGAGACATAATTAAAGCTCCCTTCCTTGAGTATTGACTTCCAGATGAACACAGAAAAATAACTACATTTCTCACAGTCCAGCTGAATAACTGCAGTGCCTCACCTTTCGGCGGACAAAACCAGCGCATGTCCTCTCTTGCCATGGCATGGTTAGGGTGCTGCTGATCAAGCAGGACTTCCCAAGTTAGTGTGCGGAGTTGTGGCTCCTCCTGGATTTGTCCTCACATACTTGGGCAGGGTCAACCTGATGAGGATCTGTGAGCCTCAGAAATAAAAGGTAAATGCCCCACCAATGATGAACCTGTTTGTATTTAACAGGGTGATTCCACAAGTCTCCTTCATGTCAGACTAGGCCCTGGAAGACCAAGGTTCAAACCCCCCACTCAGCCAGGAAGCTCACTGGGTGACCTTGGGCCAGTCACTGCTTTATATTCTAGGCAGAGATATATCTGTTAGATACATTCTAACAGATATCAGGATAGTTGAAGTCTCCCATGACTACTATATCTCTCCTTTTTGAATATTTCGTAGGGTTGCCATACATCCAGAATTCCCCGGACATATCTGGAATACTGCAACCGCAAGCAGTGTCTGGATGGAAATGTCCAGGAATATCCGAATGTATGGCAGCCCATGGCAGCAGTGTTGTTTTTGTGGATTTTTTTAATATGGCAACCCTAATATTTGATAATTGGCTGTAGAAAAGCATCACCCAAGTCTTCAGTCTGGCTTGGCAGTCTATAGCAGACACCCACAGTAAAGTCATGGTTATTTCCTTTCTCCTACAATTTTTACCCATATACTTTCAATCTGCTTTCCATGCTCCAGGTTATGGATTTCTTCACAAGCGTACACAGCCTTTACATATAATGCTACTCTTCCCCCTTCCTGTTTTGTCTGTTCCTTTTGAACATGTTATAACCCTCAGTTTCTACAGTCCAGCCATGAGTCTTATCCTACCAGGTTCTGGTAATGCCCTTTAGGGGATATTTGCCATCCTGTATTAACAGCTCAAATTCATCCGGCTTGTTTCCCATACTCTGTTCATTAGTATAGAGACAACTAAATCAACAAGGCTCTCAGCATAACCTACCTCACAGGGTTGTTGTGGAGCTTACATAAGGAGGGAGAGAACTATTTTTATGCAGTATAAAAAAGTAATAAAAGGGGGGGATGAATGAATGAATGAATATAAGCAGCACATTTTACAATTGCCGCAGCAGAATGGCCTACTGTGATTCCATGGAGCACTTAATATAGAGCTATGTTCTCCACATCAGTCCCATCATACTCATGCTTGTAGGAAATATCACAAGTATGTTTACCCGGGAGTAAGTCCCATTTGGTTGTAGAAAGTCTTCACAGAACCATAGCCTTCAGTCAGGAAAGAGTTCCATGTTTGGTGTGTTCTTCCTTCTCTCGGTCACCAGCATGACTAAAACAGACCCTTTAATTATTCATTTCTCATTCCCTCCTGCCCAGAACTGGCCCTCTTAATTAGTCCCTTCCACTGTGCAATCACAGCAATCCCATCATTTGCTCATTAATATGTTGAAAAAATTATCTGTGCACTTGTACTGTAGAACAAAAATGAGCCCAGCACATAGCAGGACATGGTAATACCTGATTAACCCTGAAATGCATGGCAAAAAGGTTACCAGTCATAGAATCATATAATTGCAGAGTTGGAAGGGACTCTGACAGTGACCTAGTCCAACCCCTTGCAATGCAGAAATCTCAACTAAAGCAGCCATGACAGATGGCCATCCAACCTCTGTTTAAAAAAACCTCCAATGAAGGGGAGTCCACCACCTTCTGAAGGAGATCATTCACCAACTCTTACCATCAGAAGGTTCTTCTATATGTTTAGTCAGAAACATTTTTCTTGTAACTCAAATCATCATAAGAATATAAGAGCCCTGCTGGATAGTCCAGCATCTCTTCTTCACATGGTCAACTAGATGAAGGAGGAGCAGGAGGAGGAGAGTTTGGATTTGATGTCACTACCCAAAGGAGTCTCAAAGTGGCTAACAATCTCATATCCCTTCCTCCCCAACAACAAACACTCTGTGAGGTGAGTGGGGCTGAGAGACTTCAGAGAAGTGTGACTAGCCCAAGGTCACCCAGCAGCTGCAGGTGGAGGAGCAGGGACGTGAACCTGGTTCACCAGATTTTGAGTCTACTGCTCTTAACCACTACACCACACTGGCTCTGGAAAGTCCATAAACAGCATTCCCACTACTCCTGTTCCCTGTATTGTCTCTGATAATTGAGGTGGCATACAGAGCAATCCTAGCTGTATCATCCTTCTATTTCTCCAACCCCTTTTAAAGCCATGCAAGTTGGCGGCCATCACTACATTTTGCAGTCTCAAATTCCACTATGTGATGTTTAAAAAGGTACTTCCTTTTGTTTAGCCTGTATCTTCCAGCCTTCGGATTCATTGGGTGGCCCTAGTGCTTAGGGGTATACTGCCTCTGACCATGGAGTCTCCTTTTAGTAATAATGGTTACTGATGGACCTATCCTCCGTGACTCTTTCAAGTAGCCAAGGAACTGTGCACAAGGGCAGAATCACCCATCTCTTTCAGTACTGGAGTTGTAGCTGCACAGAGAAGCCAAATCAGCCTGGAGAGGGTGGCAAGGGGTGAATACAGCAGTGCTTGCCAGGTCCACCCACTCTCACGTTGGGTTTGAGGGCTGGCTCTGGTTGCTTTTGAAGCTCTCCTTATTGCTGTCTCTCAAGATGACATAGCAAGGCGGCCTTTAGCAGTGTCACTTTCCTTGGGAGTGAGAGGCCACGGGAGACTGAGCTTCTGTAGCATACTGTTTATTCACCTGCACACAGGGGCGTGTGAATCTGTCAGTTACATCGCTCAGTTTCTCAGGTTTCCAGTCTTGAGTTCCATTCAGAACTTTTCCATATCAGTTTGCCACAAAATAAAGCCCTTTGGAAAATTCATCAGCATTTCGGCTTGAATTTCTCCTAACATGCACGTATCGTATGCAATTTTGCCCGATACAGACATTTTTGCAAAGTAATTTCCCCTAACACAATGTGTTTTGTTTTTATGTTGTTTTCACTGCTATACGCATTTGTGCACATTACCTGGCTGCAGAACTGCATTGCATTACCTGTCAGCTTCAAAGGATGACTGTGTTTGGGTTCACATATTGTTTTTGAAAGTGTGACTTGTGTAGCTTCACTTTTGAATGAATGAATTGAATCTAATTGATACCTTCTATGCTATAATTAATTAATTAATCCCCTTCCACACACTTCTCAAGGCAATGCAAAAAAAAATCAAGAAAAACAGCTGAAGAACAGTTAAAAACAGCACAGAAAATAACATCAGATAAAATTAAAAACCATACAAAGTGGACACCTGTGGCAGAGACACCGTATCCATCCACTTGAGAACGCTTCTCAGAACAGAAATGTCTTCAGATATTTCCAGAAAGTGTAGCTAGTGGGTGACTGCACTGTCTAAGCAGGAACACTGCTCCTCAGACCAGGGGCCACTACACTAAAAGCCCTGCTCCAAGTTACTTCTGAGCAGGCTTCTGATATCTCTGCGGCTTGACGAAGAAGCTCTCCTTACTCCTACTGGGTAAGGCTGTCTCTCAA